TTTTTTTTTTTTTCCCTAGCTTGTTCGGGGGGGGGGGCAGTTGTTATACATAATATGTGATGTGACAGATTAATATACATTCCAATATACAGTAAAAGCTGTTTTATTCAGCACTTTACCATCCAGAATGCTCCATTAACCAGCATCTATCATAGACGGCATCTGTTGTTTATGGCAGTGAATTGATGCAGCAAAAGCAAAACCAGAAGTCCCACCCTGGCACTTCCAGTTTCACTAAGTCCCACTTCTTCCTTGAGGACCATGGCCCAGGGCAAAGCAGCCTGCACGAAGCCCCCCTCCCTGTCCCCTGGCACACTGACACCAGGGAGTGAAAGCCCTGGTGCACCAGCAAAAACGCCTCCAACCCGCTGGAAATAAGCTCTCAGATAACAAGCATATTTGATTCACTGGCACCCCCCTTTCCCCATGGATGCCGGGTAATAGAGCTTTTACTGTATTTATATTTGTTTTTGCTCCAATCTTAAGTTAAACAATATAACCCTAGGCCACTACTTTATTATTAAAGCTTCTAGTATCTTTTTAACTTGATAAAAGTATGCATTGTGTTATATGTGATGATGCACCACACCATCTGCATCCCCTTTTTCAGAATCCTAGATCTGCCTATTACCTTTTGCATAGCATGTCATTAAATATGAATAACAAATTGCAATCTGCATTAATAATGTTCTGTTATTAATTCTGGTTTGGAAACTATTACCCACTGGAAGAAGACACTTAGCTTACTATGTGTGATTCCTTCTGTTAGGGGGAAACTTAATATATCTGACAGCTTTTGTGCTTTCTTCCAAAAAAGTATGGAATGTAACCTCAGCTAGTGCAGTGGGTAGAGATCCATTGAATAGGACCACCCTCCCAGACCCTGTGAGATACTAGTTCTGTTAGTTTCAAATTAGTGGCGATTCTTGTTTAAAATAGAGAGTCAAATATTGTGAAAATGAACATAAAACAATTTTAGCTAATGAGAATTCTCATGGGAAAATACAGAGAGGCCAGCATTGTCAGGTCTTAAATATGAAATTATCATATTGGAAGCTCAAATTACCATATTTTCTGAAAAACGATTGTATACTGAAAAAAAAAACACTATGCAAGAAAGTATGCAAATAAGCCTTGTTCTTATTTACTTTATATTGCTCACTTTTAAGTTTCCAGTGAGTGAGTGAGAACTGAATCATCAAAGTTGAAGCATTTTATTTCAAGGCAAGCAGTCATATGAAAGTGCTGACAGTGAAGCTGTAAGTTGATTAAGGCTCCCTGAGAGCTGACATTGGGGTGAAGGAGGCAGTGATTCCACTGCTGGTGCCCACTTCTG